ACATATTTTATCTTCTCGCCCTGCCCAGCGCACGGGGCGGGGGAGGGTGGGATTTTTTTGTCATGCTCGCAGCCCCCAAGTTTGCGTTTCGAGGGTCGATTCCCTCCTCTACACACCTGAGGTGGGGGGGGGGGGGGGTTTGCCACAGGTCTCCTCAGGCGGAGGCAGCCTTGAGGGCCCCAGGGATTGCACTGGTCTCTCCTGACTGTTCTTGCCTGAGGGATGGAGAGGGAGAAACGCCCACCAGCCTCTCGGGAGGGAGAGCAGCTCCTGGGGAGGAGGGCGGGCAGGCGGCAGCAACACACACCCCGAGGGGTAGGAGCGTGGCCTGGGGGGTCGCGCTTCCTGCTTCTGAGCCCCAGCTCCAACCGTCACTGTGCCCTTGGCCAGGTGTTGGCTTTTTCAGGCCTCAGACTCTCTATAAAAAATAGTACATTGCCCTGGCCAGTGTGGCTTAGTGGGTAGGGCGTCAGACTGCGGACCGAAGGGTCCTGAGTTCGATTCTGGTCAAGGGCACGTATCTTGGTTGCAGGCTCCTCTCCAGCCCGGGCCCTGGTCTGGGCTCATGCAGGAGGCAACCAGTGGATGTGTTTCTCTCACATCGATGTTTCTGTCTTTCCCTCTCTCTTCCACTCTCTCTAAAAGATCAATGGAAAAATGCCCTCGGGTGAGGATTAGCAACAACAACAACAAAATAGCACATGGAATAAAGCACATTGTCCTGTGGCTAAAATACAAAGCGCTAACGTGGGAGGCGACAGTAGCACCAGGAAACAATTAGCTGCTCTTACTGTTCTTACTCGAGAGGGGTTAGCTTAGAGCAGCCACGAGGACGCGGCCGACCGCGCGCACGCCCCCAAGGGTGCGGAGACCCGCCAGGGGCTGCCTTCCTGTCAGCTCCTGACTTTGGTCGCCCTCCCCGGCTGGCGGATTTCCTTGGCATATCTGGTCCTTGCTCTTGGCACATTTTGGTTCAAGAGGCGTCTGGCCATGCAGAGCTGTGTGTGTGAGCGTGTGTGCAGGGACATGGGAGAGAAAGGCCAGCAGAGGGTACTGCCTGGGAGTTTTTCTTCGTTCCCATTCACAAACGTCCCAGAGTCCCAGCCCCGTGGTTTCACAGGATCCGTCTCCCCAGACTGGTCACTGTGTCCTCACTGTCTGCGCTTCACCACCCGGAGCCCACCCTTGGGGCCACGAGGGCGGACCCCAGCCCTGGGTGCTGCCCGACAGGGTGCTGACCGGCGGTGCCTCTGGTTGCAGGCTGAGCAGCAAGCCCCTGCTGACAGCAGATGCCTACGAGCTGGGAGCCGGCATGAGGAAGAGACACAAGGGGCCTGAGGAGGAACACGACGCCCTCGTGGGAACGGGGAAGGCGATGGGGCGGAGCCAGCCGTGGGACGAGCACGAAGCCCCGTCCGACTTCATGAGTCAGGTGAGCAGCCCATCGCCCGCCTCGGGCAGCCCTCCTGCTGCGGAGAAGCTGTAGGAATGGTTGTGATGGGGTGGGGCCACAACATGAGTCACAAAGAAACAGAATTTCCGGAGGATGAGGCCTGGACATCAGGATTTTAAAAAGGTTCCCAGGTGATTCTAATGTGCAGCCAAGGTTGAGAACCACTGCCTTAGTGTCTCCAATTTGCCTTTTTGTCCAGAGAAAATTATGGCCCAGAGACCGACCAAAGTAACGCAGCCTCGGGCAGAGCTGAGACTGAAAGTCGCCTCCCCTGCCGAGAGGCCAGACTAGATAGCGAGATGACGCTGTTTAACAGTGTAATTGTTTAATGAGCGGCCTTACCGTTCTGTAGTTCTAAGAAACAAGGGCTTGATGCCGTTGTAATGTCCTCAGTGAACTCTCCAGAGCTAATGGGTTGAGAGCCAACTCCTGATTTTCCTTCTTTCTGCAGAGCGTTGAAATCATCCCCTTAGAGCCCAGGCCTCTCAGTCCTCAGTACCCAGTCACCCTCCTGTGAAGCCCTGGGAGGGCTGTCTGGTTACCTGGCCCTCAGAGGGAGGTGCTCCGGCCGGGGTGCGGGGGGAGGGAAGAGAGCCAGTTAGCACGCCAGCACCTGCCTTAGACGCTCACATTGCGAAGGGCACTTTAGTTGTCTAAACGATGCTTATCCCAACTTTTTTCTCCTTATGAGATGTTACCCGATGAAAGAAAATCGAGATAAAATATTCAGATGAGGGGCATGAATGGAAACTGCCCATTTCCCTTCAACCACAGATGACTACAGCTGATGAGAGGGGAAGCAGGAGCTTAATCTCTAATCTCGGCTCCAGGCACCCAAGCACGCTCCGGGCATTTTCTTGGCAGCTGTGGCCCCTGGAGTTGGATGGGCCGGCGGCGTAGGCCTCTGCGCCAGCCGCTTTAGGTGGCTGAGATAAGCAGATCAGCCGGGCTGTGATCTGGGTGTTCGATCTTGGTTCCCGCCCCCCTCCCTCAATCCAGCTGGCTCCTCCGGCTCGTTGGCAGCGCTGTTTCTCCGAGTGCTTCCCTGGGAGGCGCCAGGCAGCTCCGGAGAGCCAGAGCGGGAACGCCGGAGCCCGTGATCCTTGTCCCTGGCTGTTGGCTCGGTGCTCCGTGTGCCTCATCTCGGTTCCTCTTCAGAGCAACCTGGTGGGTGCCCGTCCGCACTATCCCCATTTCACAGAGTAGGAGAGTCGAGGCTGAGAGGAGCGAAGCAGTTTGTCAGAAACCACAGAGGCAGAGAGGGTGCGTCCGCGCTTGTCCACGCAGACCCACTGGGGTCCAGTGTCTTAACCCAGGACGTCCCCCTCCCCTCTCCAGCTGAAGATCAAGAAGAAGAAGATGGCCAGCGACCAGGAGCAGCTGGCAAGCAAGCTGGACAAGGCCCTCTCCCTCACCAAGCAGGACAAGCTGAAGTCCCCCTTCAAGTTCTCGGACAGCTGTGGGGGGAAGCCCAAGCCGGGCGCGGGCTGCGGCCGGTACTTGACGCCGTATGACAGCCTGCTGGGCAAGGACAGGAGGGCGCTGGCCAAAGGCCTCGGCCTGTCTCTCAAAGCCGCCAGAGAAGGTAAACACAAACGGGCCGCCAAAGCCAGGAAGATGGAGGTGGGCTTCAAGGCCCGCGGCCAGCCCAAGTCGGCCCCCTCCCCGTTCGCCTCGGAAGCGAGCAGCTACTCCTACAGTAAGTAGCGGGTGCCGGCCGCCTCCGGGCTGCCGCTTCGCTCCTCTCCTCTGTCTGTCTGTCTGTCGGGTTCTCCGAGGTCTTCTGCCTCTGCACTGGCGCCATACCGGAAGTGGGTCCCCCTGAAGCGGAAGTGCCTGCAGTGGCTGCGGCCCTATTGGGCGGCCACCAGTGATTGGTGGTGGGGGCGGAAGTCCGCCTGCCACTGGCGCTGGCCTTCCGGAAAGCTGTGAAGGCGGAGGCCTTGTGCCACAGAGTTTCCGGCTGCCCTGCCTAGAGCGGCCGCGCATGACCATAGAGAGGATCCCGCCTCCCCGGCCAGCCCGCCGAGGGTTGGTGCGACCGTTGGTGCGACCGTCTAATGGGCGCGGAGCGGATGAAGGGCTGTGCGGGCGGCATTTCACGTTGTCCTGGTGACGGCCTTCCAGGCGGCCGCCGTGTTGCCCCTGAGGATAGATGCTGAGGCCGGCGAGGTCGGCCGCGCGGGTGCGGGGAGTCGGGCCAGGGATCAGGCTCGGGACGGTCGCTGGTTGGTGCCCGATGGCGGCCGACCTCGGGGCGAGGTTTTCCTGAGCCGGGCAGCCTCGGGGCAGTCACGGGTCCGCCCGGCGCCTCTCCCCGGCCTGTGGCGCCCGCTCCGCTCCGAGGCCTGGCGTGTAACAGGTGTCGGTGTTGGTGGGCGGGGTACCTGGTGTCCAGGATGGATGGGGACTGGGCGTGGTGGCTGCAGGGAAGCCCAGCGGGGCCCCTGGCGCCTGCGCCCGTGGGGGTGGCTGTGCAGGTCCCGGCTGTGGGCGGTGGAGGCTGTTCCGCTGGTGACAGCTTGGGTCGGCGCCTGGGCTTCTGATGGGCCCTTCCTGGGTCCGCGAGGCGATGGAGTTTCACTGTCCAGCGCACAAACGGGCACCTTTCATGTTACAAGCAAGTGTGTTTTCTTGGGCCAAGAAAGGACAGTTGGGTCGGACCTCGCGGGGCTGTGGCGAGCTGGAGGGAGTCAGGCTGGTGAGGAGCGGGCATGCGCCTTGCAGGTGGAACGCTGCTGCTTTTGGGCTCAGTGACCCGGGTCTAGTGGGTCTTCAGGACTGGGTCTCAGGTGGGCGTGGGGCAGGCAGGTCGTCTGTCCCGGGTGCTGAGTCTGAGCCCGCGTGTGCCCCCTCGGCTCGCGGATGTGATCTGGCCGCGCTGCCCAGGCCCTGCCGCTTTCAGAGACTCATTGCCCTGAAGGAGAACGGAAGCCTTTAACCCTGCCCACCCGGCTGGGTCTGGAACCAAGAGGGGTCAGGAGGCTTGCTGCTCCTTGAATCTTCCCGGGCAGAGGCTGCTGGACGTGCCTGGCTGGTCGCCTGGAGAGCCCCTCCTCCCCCACTCCCACTGGACGTGGTGCAGTTAGAGGCCGTACGACAGCCTGCTGGGCAAGGACAGGAGGGCGCTGGCCCCTCTGGAGGGCTGAGCTCGGCCCCTGAGACCTGGGGCCAGTCTGAGCCGCTGAGCCCACGGAGCAGCTGTGTGCACGTGCACAAGCCACGTTCAGGTTGCCAGTCTGACTCGGTTGTGTCTTCGCTGTCCGGGTGAGGGAGGAGGGCCAGCATTGCGACAGGGAGGCCAGAGGCCCGTCGCGGGCGAGGTGGTGCAGGCGTGCAGCTGGCGGTGGCGAGCGCTCCTCTGCTTTCTGCATGGGCCCTCCCATGGGCCTGGGTGAAGGAGAGCGAGTCACGGAGGCCGGAGGTGCTCTGGCGAGCTGTGCTGCCCCCGCAGGAGAGGGGAGGGGAGAGCCCTGCCCTCCTGCCCTGTCACTTCGGGGGGTAGGGTGGGTGGCATGCCTGGTGGGAAGCCAGGTTGGCCATTGTTACCCAGTTTGGGATGGAGCTCACAGGAGGCAGAGCTACGGCCAGGGGCCTGGCGGGGCCTGGCGGGGCCTGGCAGGGCTCGTCCTTGTCTGTCCTTCCCAGGGTTGCGGGCCGACCTGTGTTGGGTCTCGGTGGGAGTGGGAGGCGTAGATGTTGGAGGAGTAGCCGGAGGACCGCCCCTCCCCCCGGAGCGGTTGCTCTCGGCCTTGCAGCTGGCGGGCGGAGCCGCGCTGTAGCTGTGTTCACTGATGCCCCTGTAGCTGTGCTCCAGGTGGACTTGGCCAGGTTACGGGAGTGGGTTCTGGCTGCAGAGCCTTTTCTTCAGTGAGGTCTTGCTCGACAGCCCATATGTAACACTCGTCAGAACTGTGCATGTTTGAGGGGGGGCGGAGACGCCAGAGCTATGCCCACTTGACAGCTCCCTCCCCAAAGCCTGGGGTCCTCCTGAGCTGGAGATCTTGGCCTCGCCCAGTAGTGAGGCCGAGACTGGGGTGCCAGCAGCAGGGCGGGGGTGGGGGGGGGGTGACCGGCTCTGGTAGGAAAACAGGAAGCAAGTAGGAGCATCATTTGCCAGTGTCTTTGGTGGGACTCTGTGCTGGCCTGTCTCAAGCCCCCACTGTGACATTGCTGAGCGGCATTGGGAAGAGGTGTGCACGGCTGAGTGCCAGCGCCGCCCCGCACCCCTGGGAGCTGGCACTTGAGGGGAAGGGGAGCTGTACCTGAGCCCTTCCCCTCCTGGGCCTGCCCCTCCCTGGGCTGGTGCCATCCTGTGGGATAGCGGGGCCCGAGGTGATCTCCGTGGCTGGGGAGAGACCTTGCTGAGAGCGGCTCCTCCCGCCCGGGGCCTGGGAGGGCGGTGTGCCCAGGTGACTGCTGTGTGCGGTGCCCGCGGCTCCCAGGCGAGAGGTGCCCGCCGCTTGCTCCACGGCCAGTAGGCCTTGGGCCTCTCTGTGCTGCAGCACCAGGGCGCTCAGTGCATAACCAGACAGACACCAGCCCCTCCCCCCCCACCCCCGCCCCTGACTTACCTTATTACAAACTACCTTGACTGCAGATACGGACTCGGAGGAGGAGGAGGAGTTCCTGAAGGATGAGTGGTCCGCCCAAGGCCCCTCCGGCTCCAAGCTGACATCTTCCCTCCTGTGTGGCATGGTGGCCAAGAGCAGCAAGCCGCCCGGGGGCCCCAAGCTGCCCAAGAGGGGCCTGGCGGCCGCCCGGACTCTGAAGCCCAAGCTGGCGGGCAGGAAGCAGCCGTTCTGTTTGCTGCTGCAGGAGGTCGAGGCCCGCTCCTCCTTCAGCGATTCTTCGGAGGACTCGTTTGACCAAGGTTACTAGCTCCAAACACACACCCCTTCCGTGTTTTATAGCGAGCGTGTGAGTGAGAGAGAGAGAGAGTGAGCGTGCGTGAGCGAGCCAGGTGCGGGTGCGAGCGATGGCGCTGCTGGGCGGCCGTCTGGGGTCTTGGCAGGTAGCCTGCCGTCAGCCTCTGCCGGGCATTTGTGCCTGTATCATTGTGATAACCACGGCTGGCTCTTTTTGAGCTTTTATACGGACTGATTTTAGTCTTCCCCTTCCTCCACTCCCCCCTCCGCCGCCCCATTCTGGCCTCCCTGTCCCCTGGACCGCAGGCCGGGGTGGGGGTCTTGGCAGGGGCCTCCCAGGGACGTTTTGTAAATGAAACTGTCGTGTGGGCGTGTGACTTGATGTTTGTACCTGGATTTTGGTAACACCGAGCTTTATTAAACATATCGAGTTCTTTTTTAACTAAACCCGTGTGCCTTGTCTCTCTTGCTGTGTCCTCACTTAGACCGTTAGGTGCCGCTGCCCTCATTTGTTCCTCCCCTCCCCTCCCCCACCCGGAAGGGGTAGAGACGGAGTAACGCAGTCGCTGCTTTTCCCTATTATTCAAATATCCCTGGGAGCTGCTGGCATGCATTTCATGTTCAGGTTTAAAGTCAACTGCTTTCACCTCCAGCATCATCTTTTTTTTTTTTTTAGCTGCTTGTCTGTCTTTTATTTTCCTAAAGCTCAATTCCTCTGCATCAGTGCTTTAAAAATGCTCACAACCCCCGTTCCCTAACACACATTTCCGCCAGGAGGAGCTGGTAGGCAGTGCAGGGCCAAGATCACCTGCAAGCGAGGGGCAGAGTGTAGCGCTGTGGAGAGAGCATGGCCCGCCAGTCCGGCTCAGCCGGGGCCTCACTTACAAAACAGGGTCAGAGTCACGCCCCAGCCGGCAGGCCCCAGTGCGCCTTGGCCTGGGCGAGGGTTTGCTCCGGGTGGATCCGCACAGGGACCCCAGCTCCCGGGTGGCATCCCCTGGGGGGCAGAGCCGAGACCCGATGCCCCCACGGGAGGCCCAGGCATGTCAGAGCCGCCGGGACAGGACCTGGCTCAGCCCTGGGGTCTGAGTGCTGCCCGATTCCAGCCTCGCGCTCTCACTCCTGGTCCACCTCTCCTCCCACGCCTCCCCTCTGGATGGCCCAGGTCCATTTTGGGTGACCAGCAGATGGCACAGCAGGGAGCCAGGCGGCCTTGGGGCGCGCATTCTCCTGGGCAACTTGCCAGCCAGCCTGGTTTCCCGAGGCCGCCTCCATCCTGGCCACGCGGCCCCTCCTGGCTGGTGTGCCACCACCCTCCCCACCTTCCTCCTCCTCTCCCCTGGACTTGGATCCCCAAGCCGCCTCCCTTCCAACACGCTCCCTTCCACACACTCCCCTGCCCCTTAAAGCCAGGGCACCAGCTTCCAAGCTTTGGGGCTCCCCTGCCTCAGCTCAGACTCCGTAGAGAAGCCGGCAGTCCCCTGGGTCCAGCAAGGGGCCGTTGGCCCCGGGACCTCAGACCAGGACTGGATGCGGCCGAGGACAGATAGGGGGAGTGTGGCGGGAGGGGAGGGGCCCACTGCACAGGGGCCGTAGGTCTCCGCAGGGATATTTGCGTAATAGGGCCTTACTGACACCTGATACTAAACCCCTAATTGGCTTGGCTTTTCTAGTGTGTCTGCTTTCTCCCCCAGCAGCCTGACCATACCTTCACCCTTGACCCCTACCCATGATGCTTTGAATGTCTGTTTTGGTCTCTTGCATTTGCTCTCACGCTGCACTCGGACGCAAAGCGAAGGCTGGGAGTAGGGCAGACGGCGCCGCGGGTCACTGAGCTGGGGTCGAGCCTGGCTCGTTGGTCCGTAGGTAGGCACACCCTCTTCCTCGTGTCCCCCTGCACCTCCCTCCTCGGGGCTGCCCCCGTCGGCGATGGCAGCAGCGGGTCGCTTTGGCATTTATCGATCAGGTTTTGGAAACCAAGTCCCAGCAGCCAACCCCACATACAGAGCCAGGAGGGGTATTTTTTGTTGGTTTTGTTTTTTAAAATAAAAGTTCCTCTGCATTTCCCTGGGGGCTTTTTCTCCCCGCCCTTGGCAAGCTGTGGTCTCAGGTGTGGACAGCTCCGAGAGGCTTTTTCTCCTTGGTCCTTAGGCACCCCTGGCCCCCCTGCCCTGCAGCCCGATCCCCCGCCACAGCCAGCGGGAGGCAGCCAGGGCGGGCCCGCCAGGCTCCGAGGGGAGGCGGGAGGGCCCTGGGAGGCCACGGGACCTGTGACCCCCAGTTGGGACGGGCGCACCCCTTCCTTTGGCTTTTGCCTTTCGAACACTCCTCCAGCTCAGGGTGCCGGGACGGGGCTGCGCTGGCTCTCTGGGATCTGATGCGGACGCTCCGACATCCAGAACCAGAGCCAGCCCTCCCCGCCGGACCCTGCGGTGGAGACGCCCGGGGGCAGCGGGTTCTGGAGCCTCCACACCTGAGCAGCCGCAGAAGGGCAGGCTGGCCCCTGTCCATCCCCGAGTCCCCAGCCAGCCCGCCCCCTCCGCCACCCCAGGGGACCTGATGTGGGGGACCCAGGCGCTGCCGCAAGTCTGCCTACACTTAGCCTGCTTTGCCGCTGTGGCCCGCTGGGGCGGAGACAGAACGTGACGTCCGCACTGTGAATGGACCGCAAGTGTGCACTGCCTGCCTGCCGCCCGCCTGCCCGCTGCCTCCATCCGCTTCATCCATCGCTCGCGAGCCCGCCTCCTGCTCACCCTAACACACTCCCCTCTCTGCCTCCTTCCTCTCACTCCCTTTCAGATTCCTTAAGCTCATCACCCCTTCCCGCACCCAGGGGTCACTCAGCAGAAACGGGGCTCCCTCCGATCAGTGGGTGGGCAGAAAGCCTCCGCCTTAGCGGCACCCCAGGGCACCCACATTCGGCCAAGCCAGCAGGCGGCCTGGGGCGCTGGCAGGAGAACATGGAGTTGGCCCAGCCCAGACTGTCCCCGCCCCAGACACCATCTCCTACCCGAGCCTCGCCTGGCCCGAGGCCCCCAGGGACCCTCAGGCTCCCAGAGCTCTGAGCAGGTGAGCACCCTCGGGCAGGTCCCTCGGGGCTCCTGAGCATGGCATCTGCCCCCACCTGCCCTTGGTTAGCCTGGGAAGGTCAGCGCAAGCTTGTATCTCCAGACCGAGTCTTGGTGGAGGTTCCTGTGTGGGAGCGTGCCCCACCCCTGCCCCTCGGCCCGCCCGCCTCTGTCCCAATGGCCTGGGAGGCAGGGCCTGGTCCTGGGAGAGGTCACCCACCGGTGGTCCGCAGACCACTGGTGGGCCGTGAGGTCTGAAAGGTTGGCGACCGCTGGCACATCCAGGCACCAGCTGGAGACACGGGCACTTCTCTAGCGTTTTCCCTCTACACTGGGAGGCAGGACAGCCAGCCAGCCCCGGGTTCGAGTCCTCTCTGCCTGAGCACTTGAGCCCCTGGGCCCCTGTCTCCCAGTGCAGAGCAGCCCGCCCGCACCCTCCGAGGGACCTGCCCCTTCCCCACCCCCCGTGGCCCAGAGGCCTGGCCGGCCCGTGGCCTCCGCAGTGGCGGGGGCTTCCACAGGACAGGGTGGCTCTGCACGTCTAATTCTCTTGGTGCCTGCACCATGCCTGCGCCTACAGATGTGCGGTCCTGCTCGGACCCTCCCTGACTGGGGTGGCTGGGGGGTCACCCTGTGTCGCAGATGAGGAAGTAGGGCTCTGGGTGGCAGGTGGCCCAGAGTGGGGGTGGCACTGGGAGCCAGCTTCGGACCCCAGAGCTGCTCAGGGCTTCAACCGTGGGTGTCCCCTCCCCCCAAGAAGGGACCAAACTCCACCTCCTCCTGCCGCCAGCCCCCAGGCCTCCAGCTGCCCAAACTGCCAGGTGCCTGTGCCCGGAAACCCAGCCTGAGACCCCAGGTCCCCCCCCCCCCCACCGGCCAGACCCTCTCCTCCCTCCCTCGGCCTCCTCTGTCCTCTGTCCTGTCTTGCCTCCTTCCTCAGCCTTCACGGGTGTGTGTGTGCGTGTGAGACCGTGGAGAGCCGTCTGCAGTCCTGTCCGTGTCCTCCCCACAGCACACGTGCATGTTGCCGTCCCTGACAGAAACCCACTCTGACGCCCAAAGCCGCTGCCCGCTCTGGGCCGTCGGATGCCCACGGCTTGGGCTCGCGTAGATGGGGCGCTGGGCCGTGGGGGGACCCGCCCCCCAGCTGGTGAGGAGTGAGGAGCGAGGCCGGTGCTCCTGTGCGTGGGGGCGGGCGGCGCAGGCCCCGAGAGGCTCTGACCCCTGTTTTCTGCACCAGATGAGAGCTCCGAGGACGAGGGCGAGGACAAGCTGGAGGAAGAGGAGGACGAGGCTGGAGGCTATAGGCTGGGGGCCCGGGACCGAGCCCTGTCGCCAGGCCTGGAGGAGAGCGGGCTGGGCCTGCTGGCCCGCTTCGCAGCCAGTGCCCTGCCCAGCCCCACGGTGGGGCCGTCCCTGTCGGTGGTGCAGCTGGAGGCCAAGCAGAAGGCGCGGAAGAAGGAGGAACGGCAGAGCCTGATGGGTAAGTTGGGGCAGTGCTGCCTGAGTGGCAGGTGAGGAGACTGAGGCTCCGGGAAGCGGGGGGCAGAGCTGGGAGCCCGCGGGGCCCCTCCTGGGGGCGGCCCTGCCCGGAGCAGAGGCTGGTGACGTGGGCCCCGTGTGCTGTTTCCAAGGAGGGGCCCCCAAAGCGGTGCGGAGTGACCTTCAGCCAACGGGGCCTGACCCGCCCCCTCGGCTGCCCGACGTGGGGCAGTTCTGGGAAGCAGAGGCCCCAGATCTGCACCCAGGGGGCTGGGCTGTGCGGGGCCCGCGACCCAGCTCAGTCAAGGAGCCAGTCCTGACCCATGAGACTGGGAGCCGGCTGGCACACAGGGAAGTAGAGGGGGACAGGAGCAGTCGCTGCCGCGTCACCGGGCCGTCCGCCCGCTCTTCCTGGCCCGAGAGCGCCTTTCTCCCTGGTGCCCCGTGGCGTCCCACGGCCCGGACGGACGCAGTTTGTTTATCCTGCACCCCCCGGGGACGTCTGGTGGCACCGAGCTGTGGCCGTTACGGATAAAGCTGCTGCAAACACCGTGTGCGGGTTTTGTGTGGGGATCAGTTTCCAGCTCCTCTGGGCAACACCTAGAAGCGTGCCTGCTGGGCCGGGTGGTGAGACGGTCTCGTTTGCGAGGAGCCGTCCAGCCGTGTCCCCGAGTGGCTGCTGCGCACCGACTCCCCCGGGGTTGCCGGCTCCCTGCTCCCCGCCTCCCGCGCGGAGTCCGTGCCTTGGACTCGGGGTTGCGGGGTGTCCCGCTTCGTTCGCATTTTCCCGATGACCCACGCGGAGCGTCTCCTCAGGCGCCTACTCGCCGTCGGGACATCTTCCCGGACGTGCTGTCAGGGTTTTGGGCCCGTTTCTTGGTCAGGCTGTTTGCTTTCCGATGCTGAGTGGTAAGAGTTCCTTACGTATTTTGGGTAACAGTCCTTGGTCGGTGGTATCTTTTGCAGATTCCGCCCCCGTCTTATCTTTTCATTCTCTTGGCGATATTTTTTTCGAAGCAGAATTTTGTAAATTGAATGAGGTCCAGCTTATCAGTTCTTTCTTTCGTGGGTTGTGCCTTTGATGTTGTGTCTAAAAATTCCCCACCAAACCCAAGGTCACCTGGATTTTCTTCAGGGTCATTGTCTAGAAGTTTTATAGTTTTGCATTTTACGGCCTGTGACCCATTTTGAGTTAATTTTTGTGAAGGGAGTGAGGTCTATGTCTGTTTTTGTTTTGTTTTTGAAAAATACATTTTTATTCATTTCAGAGAGAGATGGAGAGAGAGATAGAAGCTCATCCATGATGAGAGAGAATCGATTGGCTGCCTGCTGCACGCCCGCTGCACGCCCCCTACTGGGGATGGAGCCCCCAACCTGGGTCTGTGCCCTGACCGGGAATCAAACCGTGGCCTCCTGGCTCATAGGTCGACGCTCAGCCACGGAGCCACGGAGCCACGCCGGCCGGGCGCTTTGTGGTGTTGTGTTTCTGTTGCATGTGGATGTCGGGCACCATTTGTTGAAAAGACCGTCTTTTCTCCACGGTGTTGCCTCTGCCCCCTTGTCCACACTCTTGGACTGTATTTTGGGGCCTGTTTCTAGGCTCTTGTTCTGTCCCGTCACTTTACCCGTCTGTCCCTTTGCCAATACTGCACTGTCCTGGTCACTGTAGCATCAGGCCTCTCGCTTTGTTCCTCTCCCTCAATATCAACCTGGCGGCTCTGCGTCTTTTGTCCCATATAAACGTTAGAATTAGGTTGTCGGTATCCACGAATTAACCTCCTGGGGTTTGGAGTGGGATGGCATTGACTCGTGGATGAAGTTGGGAAGAACTTGACGCCTTGACAGTATCAAGTCTTCGTATCCATGAACATGGAATGTCTTCTTTTTCTGTGTCTGTTGAGGTGTTCATGTGGCCTTTGCCCTTCGTTAACGTGGGACATTATGTTGATTTTTATTTTTTATTTATTTTTGGATGTTGAATCAACCTGGCATTCCTGGGGCAAATCCTGCTTGGTCAGGATGTATAATCTTTTTTATATGTTTCCGGGTTATATTCCTGTCTGTTTATAACGGTTATGTCTCCCTGGCGGATTAACCGTGCTCCCATTTTTAAACGTCCTTCTTTGTTGCAGCGGTTCTCAACCTGTGGGTCGTGACCCCTTTGGGGTCGAACGACCCTTTCACAGGGGTCGCCTAAGACCATCGGAAAACACATATATAATTACATATTGTTTTTGTGATTAATCACTATGCTTTCATTATGTTCAATTTGTAACAATGAAATTGGGGGTCACCACAACATGAGGAACTGTACTAAAGGGTCGCGGCGTTAGGAAGGTTGAGAACCACTGGTTTAAAGGGTCAGCTTTTGCCTGATGTCATCAGCGTGGCCACCTGGTGCTCTTGGTCACTGTTTGCGTGGTCTCTCTTCCTCACCCTCTGACAGCTGG